TCGGTATAGATCACTCGTCGGTGTTATTTTCTTTTGAAATCATTCCACATTTTCTTTCCGATTTCCAGAAGCAGCAGCAGCCACATATGAAAATTTACTCTCAGTCTTGCAGATTAGAAGTTGAAGAGTAATGATTTAAATATTCAGAAATTATTTAATTGTTGCACATCTTCCTTCTCGCATCTCTCAAATTTTTTCACTTCTCTGTACTCTCCTCTCAACTCTTTTTGAATTTTTGCTTTCGATTTCCTGGAGCAGCCCGACTTTTTAACTCACTCAGATCAAAAGTTGAAAACTATTGACTTTAATTTATCCAGAGAGTTATTCCCTGATGCACATCTTTCTGATTGCCACTGTCAAATTATTTCATACGTCCATCCTTTTTCTTTGGACTCATTTCTTTTTCTCTCCGTGGATTTGGATAATCAGTAGGAACTCCACGGTTTTAAGCATTGTACTAAGAAGCCCATTAAGGACGATGACGCGTCTTCCTTTTCGAAACTGTCAAATTATTCCACTTATCTGTATTTTTCATTAAAATCACTCCACATTTTCCCTTTCACTGTCATCCTCGAGCAGCCAAAAAAGGAACTCTACGCTGATTAAAGGTTGGGAACTATAACATTGATTCACCGTCATACAGATATTTCGGAAATTATGTCGCGTCAATGGGGAGATGCGGAAAATAGATCAGAAGGCGAACTCACAGCGGAAACGGGGGGGTTGAAAGTTGCTGTCGAGGAACCAACAGCACCAGAGGTAATACTGTGCCCGTGCGGATTTCGACGCGTAATAATGGGTCGTTCGCGTGGAAACCCCCCAGAGAGCACCTGTGCACGTCGGAAATCGATGGACCGCGAATGTGAATGCCGGTGGCACTGGGCTCCCCTCGACAGCAATTGGCGAATGCGTGACGGGCCCCGTGCCCGGTTGCTTCGGCAACTGCCAGGTGAACACCGAACGCGAACCCCCTCCAACAAGGGGCAGGTCTGGCATCGACTACAACACTGCTGTTCGATCATCCCCCTTTTCCCCGGTGCCCCCCGGCTATTGTTATTTTTTATTTGTTGCCGCTTGAATGCATGTTTACTTGCGTACTGCGCGCACTCACTTTCCCACCCGAAATTCGGGATGCGAAATGAAGGTATCATATACAGTACAGTACAAATATACAGTAAAATCTCGTTACAACAAACTTTTGGAGACTTCAGAACAAGTTTGCTGCAATGAATAATTTGTTTTAACAAGGTTTTCAAACAGAAGTCACTGGAAAAAATTTTCTCATCATACTTGAATTGCCTATATACAGTGCTTGATTATAGATCTTGCTTCTCTGGCAATATGAGATTTGGTATTATCGTTTAAAAAGCTGAGTGATCTTTTGCAATCATGCATTCCATTGGTTGCACCAGTCTCTTTTTGGCCTGGGAGGACTATGTGAAGATCTCTCCATATATTTTGGGAGGCTCATGCATGGAACCGCTCAGAAGCATGTTTGTCTTTTGATTACAACTTCCATTCATGCAACAAGAATCAGTCAGTCACATTTGGGATCGGAAATCCCTGATTGAGTCTGCCGAAGTTGGGAAATTTCTACCTAGAGAATCTATTAAACATCCCTCAAAAAAGTTTAATATACTGATCGGGAAGTCTGTTATAAAGAGATTGTTTTAACATGTACTCCGTGGGCATTCTGCCAGGACTTGAGAAAAGTTTGTTATACATAAAAAATGTTGTAACGGTATTATTTGCAAGAAGATTTTACTGCAGCACAACAATGTTGTTGCGTTTTACCAGAGATTGGTGATGAATCATGTGCGCTTCATGCATGGGTACCAATTTGGACTCATGCAATTCATCCTAGACTGTGTAGAAGAATTTTACTGTATACCAAAAAAGGACGAATGACGAAAACCCGAAGTCCTTTCAATTCAGTCTTGATACTAAGCTTTTCTGAAATGCAGATTTTTGAAAGTCATGAAAAATCATGTTCCAGCATTACCAGCAATGGATTCAGGTACGAGGCACAGGTTCCTTTTCGCTCCCGAGGACCGTAGAACGAGTCTCATACAGGGATATTCTTCTCTTCAGAAACTGGGTGTTTTCTGGAATGCAGTGGCATATCGCTGAAACATAAACTCGGGTTCCGTTTGAAATATGGCTCACACGGCAATCTATGTCAACATGCAGCAAACACAATTTTCTCGGGTGAAAATATTAAATACTGAATATGAACTCACATGATGAGCTGTATGAGCCAGACAGCAGCAGTTCAAAGAACCTTCGAATTCAATTATTGTACATCAACTTGTTATTTTTCAAGAACGAGTTACGCCACTATTCGGTTGTTTATTTTTTGTGTTGTCACTATTATTAGTTCTTCCTCTTAATTGTATTCATCTGTTATTGAGTTGAAGTTGAGTGACGGTGTCTCCTATACGAAGATTGCTCAACATGGGAAAGCTATAATTTACCCTTATCTGGAATGGGGATGAATTGATTTCCGCCAATACATATCTGCGGGGAGATATACGCCTAATGCAAGATGCAATCACTGTACATCATTTCTTGTAACCAATTCATATATACAGTACTTGCATAAGGCACCACCTGTCCCACGAGAAAAATGTTTAATCATATTCGTGTGCTCTAGAGCCTCCATTTTCGGGCTAAATTTGTGCGAAAAATATCGGGCGGTGCTTGAGTAAATATAGAAATATAAAAGCACAGGACCCGGTTTTTCGAAGCTTTTTTCATGGCTGGGAGATGAATGGCCAAATTTCTATGCATGAATGTGTGGAGCGTGGGATTCGCCTAGCTGGTGCAGATGGGTCCTGAATTTAGTTTGCCTAGACATACATTTGATGGACTTATCTTCCCATCTATTGGGAAGGAAAAGCAATGAAGCTCCAGCGTGTGGAATACCAGCATTACTTTCCAAAATATGACAATCAAATGTTTTCTTAGACGTAGGTTTCCTGGATGGATAATTTGACTGACGTGATTTCTTCGCAATGATATTTGATGATTTTCTCATGCCACTTGACGCTAATTAGCGTCAAATTTAATTTAAATTGAATTGGAGCGAAAGAGCCTAAGCAAGATGAAAACTCTCGATTGGATAATTTTGAAATACGAATAATTCATGACGAGTTATTTGATTCTCTAGAAATTTTCAAAGCATGAACGTAGACAAATTATTTTACAGTTGAAATTGAGGTGTAATCGGTGTCAAATATGACTTATATATATATATATATATATATATATATATATATATATACATATATATGCCTCAAGCATCTCGGACGTTTCAAAGCATATAGGTGTATAAGTGTCCACAAATTGTTTGAAGGTGAATTGTATCTAAAATAAATAATATCAGAAAATTTCTTTTGCATACTGCAGTTTGAAATACTTTAAGTAACATAGATTTTCCATTTATAAGGCTTCAAAAAACAATGCTTCTGACACTAGGCCGCAGTGAAAAGTGTGCACAGAATAGTTCGTTAAGTGATCGTCAAATATAAACAATCAAGTGCATCAAGTGGAAGAAAACACCTTTGATGAAAGAATCGAAGGAAGAGCTTGTATTTGGCGCATTACGATTTCACGGGTCACTGGAACCGCACCCCGACATCAATGACGTTTCCTAGGAGAATCAATGTCGACTCCAAGAACGAGGTCAGACGACGCACGTAACCCACGACATGGGTTCTCTGATTCAATTATCAGGTTCCCAGACAAAGCAGCCTATTTTCAGCGATATTTTTGCGTGGAGGTGCTGGTGAGCTTCCGAGTACGTGGAACGCGTTTATTTTGCCAACGTTAGCGCGAAACGGCTGTTTTTTTCTGCAGTCACGCAAACCCAGGGAAATAAGTTCGCAAAAATGAGGATAAAAAAATGTACTGTATACAAATTATGGGTTATATAGTCGTTGGTTGGTTCTTTTCACCGGAAACGCCTGCCGGGATCTGTCAATCAATGGTCACACAATAAGCCTCGCCAACTTTCATGGGCCACAGCTAACCACAGGTTCTGCAGAATTTCTCAATACGGAATGACATTATTCCGAAAAGCTAATCCTCAAAATTTCACCCCAAATAAGTAGCGGGATAGAAATATGCTCCTAAATGTGCCACGTCACCCATTAAATAATATACAGTAAATTATTTATAATAAACTCGAACCTCTATAACAGACTGAATACAGCGTTTTCCTAATCCAGTATAACGGTTCACATGAAGTCTCTGATATAATTAGCAGAAGAATACTATCTTGCCAATTATGCCTGGAAACCTGGGACGAATAAAAACGATATTATGACTCCCAGAAACGCATCCTCGGCTGTGGAAATTTTAACAGTTCTATAGTGTTTTAATCACACTTTTACAATTTACGTGGTATCATCTACAGTCGTTACTTATAGTTTTCAATGTTCATCTCCAGGGAAAATTTGAAGCTATGTCCTGTACAGTAATTCACGGAGAATTAAGGATAATTTCGGACTTCAATTATCTTTTACGTGGGAGGGCGAGGAGTTACCGATACCATTAAAATATTATCTTTTTTTTCCCTTAAGAAAAATAGCACACAGTGATGGATTTCCTTGCCTTCATTCGCGCAGTTATAAAGAAGTGTGGCCTCGGGTACTGATTACTGAACAACATACTGTAATTCACGAATACAGTACAGTACTTTTTACAAAGAGAAGAATCAGTCCCAAGCCCCGTCGCATGGACCGGTCTTGTCGTCCTCCATGATTCGCTGTTTCGCAAGAGATTTCTCTCGCTTTTTCCGAGTCTGAAACGGCTGAAAAAAACTCTGAGAACCGGAATTGACCAACTACAATTTCAGAGCTGCTGTCTTCGGCTTAAAGGAATCCTGAGAAAAGCGAATGATCTCCGTTTTTCGAACTTGATGCCCATTTGGACCATGTGTGATCGTAGTTCTTGACTAGAGACGGAATGCAGCTGTCAAATAAGGCAACCAGAAATCATTTCCAAGTGACGTAAAATATGCATTTCCATGTCTAGAGAAACATTACGCCAAGATCAACGGTATCAATACGTAAAGCCGCTTTGATCGAAAGCCACATGTAATGGAACGGTTCAACAAGGTACCGTGCTGAAGGCAGTTTTGGGCGACACGTCAACAACACCGGACGAAAAAAAGCATCACTGCGGGAGGCCGGCTTTGGTCTTCTGCTGCTTGATGGCTTCAGCGTAGAATTTCAACTCCGACAACATCCGCGTAACCTGAGCTTTCCATTTCGGATCAACGGGTTCGCCTTCTTCCGAAATATTCTGATGGACAACCGGGATGGTTGCTTGTGCAGGAACTGTCACAGTTCCGAGTTCACTAAGGAATGACCGCAACAACATGGCGGCACGACAACCTCCATAGTTTCCTGCACAAAAAAAAGGTTTAATCCTCTGGCACACGCTTCGGAGCTCGATCCACAGATAATACTTCTAACATGTTTGAAGTAATCAATCGAAAAACAATGATACAACTTGGGCGTTTACGGGGAATAAATCTTCGTTTGTATGCAAAATTGAGGGCTTCTTACAGATTCGCATGAAACTGCTAGTTCATCGTTTGGTAGAAATAGGTGCAGACATTCAAATGATTAATTTCTCATCAAAAATGTTGCCAAGAATAAGTTAAGCGGGTGATCCGAATTAAATAAAGACCATAAGCAATTATTACCACGAAAGCTGAGAAGCATTCCTTGCAATGTAGATTTCACACGGAGGCAAAAAATGGAGCATTCACACGACGTGTCATTGCTTTAAAATATGTTTGAGATGTTTTCATTTACGAAATGTTCCGATTTTTGGTCAACCTTGTACACAAAGATATGACACAGTTTCTGATGCGTCTAATCATCTAGTGAAGTGACAGTGCGTTTTTGATACGCCAGAGAAGTTTCTCTTCCGATTACGTCTTACATCAGTGAGGTATTACATTCGAGTAATAGCGGTATTTGCTTTCACTATCTCACCCATGGAGTAGCACACAATCCCAGACGGACGGTGACGATACGAAGCAGGCGGAAATTGATCCATGAGATTTGACAAAGCTGGAGGTATCGAACAGTTGTACTCGGATGAGATAACTAGAAAGGCGTCAGAATTCTTGATAACTTCATTCGTTTCCAGCATCCACGCAGGTGCAGCAGACTTGTCCTTCATAAAATGCAGGGGTTGCGTAATGGGAGGCGTATTCATCGCCAACGGATCTAAAATGCAAGAAAAAACTCGATTTCCTTCAATTTCAATAGCAAGGGATATTCACTCACCCAACAGTGTAACATCTAAGTCCAGTTCTTTCGCGGCACTCGAAACCAGCTTCCACACCCGATTCCCATTACGCCCGTCACGAACAGAGCCCAAAAACACTGTCAATTTTACTCCTGCCATTCCGCGCTGATTTCGAAGCCCTTGCGAACACTAATGATCGAGAAAAACAGTCAGACTGGAATTTATTAGGACTTCGAAGGTCCAGGTGATGGAAAGAAACTGGCGCCATGTCGCTTCAAGCGCAGCCTAGCACGGAATAGATCACAAGACTGCTGAGTCATATTCACACGTAGAAAGCGGAATTACGTAAGTCTCACCGCCCGAAGGCAAGGAGGACAGGCGTTAACTCCTGGTTTAATCATGAGACACAGATGCCCACTCTGAAGGTCGCACATGCTTCGAAGTCGGCGAATGCGAGGAACTGTACGGTGAATCTCGGAGTGCGGCACTTCCACCCTATTTATTCGGTAAAATTCACGGTCAGACAGCAAAAGCGCAACGCGCACTCGATCGATCGTGAAATAGCATCACGAAGACGATATCTAGATACGAGATTTGAAACAGGATCATCAATCTGGCAAACAATGTTAAATATTTAAGCGACGTAGCAGCATGAAAACGGATCGAGAACTTCAATCATTTTGTATTTCGCTCTTCACCCTTCGAATTCATCGCCAAGTTCAGAAGACCCCGACCGGGACAACAGTTCTCAGAAGCAACCTTCTATAAACGAGTCAATCACTTGCATTCAAACGTATTCCGGCGACTTTTCAACCGCCAGGAAAAACTTCAAAAACCTTCAGGTCCCGGAATTCAGAGCTACCGCCGCGATGGTCTGCATCGGCTCCCGAGTGCGCAATGATCATGACGAAAGTACACAGAAAATAGGCAGAGAAATGGGATAAAAACGATACAAAATCAATTCAACACGACAACGGTAAAAAAAAACAGTCCTAGCGCGTTATCAGGGATGAACTGACTTTATCGAAGACCCGGGTCAATTCAGATCAAGACAGTTAACGTCATGGGGAAAGACAGCGGAAACGTTGAAAAGAAAGACAGCTATCGGCCAAGGAACCACGGGAGCGGAAAAAATAGGTTTCCATCAACTCCTCTGGAACAAAGTCGGCATTGATTCTTCGCAAAAGTGATACGTTCCACATATTGCCAGCGTAACAAGAACAGTAGCATGTTCTCGGAGGATTTCTAAAAATTTTTTACCTGCTAGCAGGCGTCCGTCGTTGGACAAAAAATTTCGATATTCGAACATTGCTTCCATTTCTTCTCTCTATTATAGTGAATTAACGCAGAACACCACCAAGGACTCAAGCTTATTCAACACAGAAACAGAAGTCTGTCATTCCATGAAGATCCAAAAGGTTGTTCCTCTGCTTGCTCATTCAACACACGAAGAAAACCGTCACTCAGAGATCAACACTCACAGACCCTAGCACAGAACATAGGTAGCTCTAGTGAACATTCAAACCCGCGAAAATGAACTTCCGAGAACCAATGCCGCTTGCATTGATGCATAATAGATTCACGCAGTTCTCAAAATAGTCGAACAAGCACTCAGCACGATCGATACAAATAGGTTCGGATTACGGAGAAGAGAAAACCTTCATAACGAAAAAAACAATCTTTCCGGGAAAATCACACTCCCGCCAAAGTGTCGTTCATGGCGACCCAAACGAACGAACACCATGACGGATTTTCGCTCATTCACTCGCCCGGAGCTGCATGGGGGAAACCAAGCTAACCTACGTCGAGCTATCACAAGAAACGCGCAACACCCAACGCATTTTTCCCGGAAGATGCTCAGAAAAAAATTCTCCGTTTTAGAAACAATAGGTCTCCTCTTCGAGCGTTTGCGGAGATTGCCAAGAGAACCAGTACAAAATGCCTAAACGGGTTTTTATTAATTTCGATTCATGCACAATCGAGGATTCGATCACAAGGGAAACGCTGCACGATTCTTCACTTCCATCGCCAGCAGTGAATCTCATCAAGTTTGCTCCGAACTTTCCCATCAATTTGAACGCGAAAAAATGGTTGCAGCATAGAAAAGGGTGAGTATAAATGAAGTGACTCACAAGGTTGGACGAACATGTAAATACTTAATAATGCTTGTACTAAAATAAAATAAAATAAAAGCCAATGCATCACGGGCATCAACGACCGTTTTATCAAGTGGACCTCAGCCGATAGATATCGAACTTTAACGGTTTTATAATCCAGTAAATTACACGTAAGAAAAAGGGGTAAAGGGCCTAAAACGCATCAAATCTGCAGTGCCATGTCAATCTTGCATCTCTTCCGTGATTTCGTGGGGGTTAATGATCCCGGGGACGGCCAACTGTTGCCGTCTCTTCTCTTCTTGAGCCAGGCGCAGGTTGGTTTCTCGTTCTTCAAGGTACAAATCTGAGTCATCCTCTCCGGTGAATTCCTTGATTTGCACTAAGAAATCGCGCAGATGTTCTCGGAACGCCGGCACATCCTGGTCCAAGTTGAACAAGCCCTGAACTGTCACCTTGATTTGACCGGGCGTCAAATGAGGGTAGGCATTCTTCAACAATTCCGCCACGTATGCCTACGAATACCATAAACGCATGTAAATTTTAAAATCCAATCAAATCACGGATAAATTTATTCAAAAAAAAAACCAACGAAGGATCGATTCAATATTTGAGGCCCGGAGAGGATAACAGACAACAAACGAGTCTTCCGAAGAAATCCTTCAAATAATAAGTACGTAATCTCACCTGAACGTAAGCGACGTTGTCATAAGGCTCTCCGGCAACCTGGTTAGGGTTCAGAGAAACTTCAACCTTTTTCATCTCGACCAACGAGAACATGTATGCGAGAATGTTGGCATGCATCAGGAGGTCTGAAACAATTGCGATAAAAAATCAAGCAAAATTCCTTATCGAAACGTTTAGGTAACGTACTGGCTGTGTGCGATGTATCAGTAACAACAGAGAACAGATGCTGCAAAATTTCCATGAAATACGCCTGATAAAACCTTTGAGCGACGTCGAATGTAGACATATTCTGGAACAACTGCTGCAAAATCTGAAGAAAAAAAAAACGAATGAATGGCCGTATGGAAAACTTTCTTCCAATGCACGGATTCTCACCTGCAGTCCACAGTCAGCAACGTTTCGCATCGTATGCTTGAAGGCCCAGATGACAGCATCCATGACAAGCTTGAATTGCCCTTGTGGTATGATCAGAAGTGCAGGGAAACAATCAAGATTCACCGCCTGATAAAATATAGGTAACGACAGCATATGAATCATGACCATTCTAAAATCCGGAGTCTCAATTTACCTTTAGGAGCTGGTAAAAGTTAATCCGATGCTCCGGAAATTCTTCGAAGTCCTTGTTGATCATGTCCAGCGTACAACCGAATACAGCGTCAAAAATCTTTGGGACTTGAGGAGTAATGTTGTTTTTTAGTGTCGTGATGATAGTTGCCATGGTGCTTAAAACTTCCGGCTCACGGGCAGACGGAACTGGACAACGACTATAGTCCAATAGCACAGCTTCCAGCAGAGGCGGTATGAAGTTATCCAGGACCTGCAATAAAAAAAGTTTTCAATCATAGGATCACATTCGTTCGTTCACATAACATTTCTTTCTTGGGCCGGCGAAAGAATCATTTATCGATGTTTGTCGAGCCATACCACAAAGTGATCACATTTGATCAGGACTTACCATTTGACAGTCCGTCGTGCGTGAGACCCAGGACGAAATCAGGTTCAACGTTTCCTTCTTGACGACTCGCATGTTCTTGATCAGCGGCTGCTTGGTTACAACCTCCCCGTTCATCGCGATTGCAGCGCTTATGTTTTCGCTCATCACCTTGTACACGTTCAACATGTCCAAGTAGATTCGACTCAGCTAGGGAGAAAAATATCGATGAGCTGATAATCGAGTACTTTGCCAGAGCGTTCACTTCCAACCGAAGGAAAGCTAATTGAAACCGTTTCCCGCAATGCCAGTCAGCATTTCTGGAAAGACTCACTGCTTCGAAAATTGCGACGAAATAATTACGTTTATCTAGGTTTACTACGGTATTTACACTCAAGTATCAGAATTACCTGGGCCACATACGGATGCCCGATTGCTCGACAGGCACGAACATTCGTTTTCAAAATATTGACAAGGTGCCGGGCTGCCGCAGGGTCTTTCAGAATCTCCACATTACTAGATGCCTGATTGATCACGTCATCCCAAATTTGGTTCGGAAGCAGCATGTACCGCTCGATGAGTTGTTCCTGTTTCGATGTGTTCATTTCAGCACTAATCATGTACCCAACAGCCTCGTAAAACGTGTGGACCTTAAGACGCAAACATCCGTTAGGCAAATAGCAGGGCATCTTCGGATGAGGAACAACGTACCTGATGTGGCGCAAGATCACATATGATCGAGCTGATCATACTCAGAAGTTCCTCTATGAATGGATTCTGCTCTCCAACTTGACACTGGACGAAATGCTTCTTACACTTCATTGAAATTTTTATAAACGTGTCACAAGCCATGTCTTGAACGCCCTCGTGCGTTTCTGTGAAGAATGAATCTTGATGGATCATTTCTCAACATTAAAATTTTCTCGTGCTTACCATGCATGAATTCGAACAACTTGTTGACAACCGTTTTCAAGAACTTCCAGTGAGCCTTCAAGAAACGCGGATACTGGCCTACGATGTACATAATATTGGAGGCAATGATGGCTTTGTTGTCCTTGCCCTTTTTATGCTCACAAAGTCCGAGCAATGCCTTGATCACTGTCACCAGGAACTTCTTCTCGTCCTCTTCATGCATAGCACCGGAAATGGAACCGATTGCCCAACACAGCTGAAACAGGAACAAAAATATTCAAGGTTATTTTCCACAAAACCGAAGAAACTTCGTTTCCGAAATAACTCACCGTATTCAGATTACGCCATGACCATTCTACTCCGTTGACCTGATTCTGCAATTTAACGGCCATGATCCGTTCAGTATCAACGTAGTCTAAATGCGTCAAATAAACCAGGGTTTCACGCATATTCTTGTATAAGTTGATGGCATCGGTGTCTTTCATGAACTCTCGAACCACTTCACCATGCTCATTCTCGACGACCAAAACTTCTTCCGGCTTCGCCATTCTCGAAATCATGATCAAGCGTACCTGAACGAGAAAATCGGAGATGTTGATCAAAATTCGGCCCGTAGAAATGACAGACATCTCAATAATGACACCTGAAATTTTCACCCTAAACTCGCCGAGTCATAGAAACTAAGCATAGAAATGTATACGAGTTTCAATATGATGTAGAATGCAATCTTCTGGATAATCGACTGTAGCAACAGAGATACAATATTAACGTCTGAAAAATATGCGCGCTCATCCAGCTTACTCTTACCTTCGAGAGGACTGGCTGGTACATTGCTTTTCGTGGTACAACTTCTGGAGTCGGCTTCGTCAGGCGAAGGAGCGGATCACTGCTGAAGATTGTGACCGGCTTCTCTTGATAAAGTTCCGTCGCGAGCGCATTCCAATATTCCAGACAAATTTTGAAAATTTCCACATCGTCTACCTCAGAGATCATCACCAAGTATTGCAAGGCAGTCATAAGTTTTTCTGTCAAGCCTTTTTTCTCTATCAAACACCCATGCTCTTTAAGGAACGTGCAAAGGAACAATGCCAAATTCTGAGTGAACTGTTGTTCAGCGTCTCTGCCAGAAGCGTAGCCCTCCTTGAAGTTGGCATTCGGCGGCATGATCTATGAATAAACCGCAAGTTCACTGTAGTAGAAGACGTGTAGGAGGGGTTTCAGAAGTACTTACGCTGTCCAGTTTCTCAATTGTCTGGGTGAAAAGCAAGATAAACATTTCATCGTAGTTCGGAACTTTGATGCCCGCGATCTCTGTCAAGCATTTCAGCGTGACGTTCCGGAACATCGGGACGACGAAGAATTTCAGGATGAGCGTACTGATCAGCTTCGTCTCAAAAACATACCCCAACGGAATCCAGTTTAAAAAGCGTAACAAAGTTTCTAGTGTTGCTCCGACAAGGGGAGCATTATGGCTCGTATCCTATACGTCGGAAAATAGGATTAATATACAACCATATCATGAATTCTCAACGCGTAACACTCACGAGAACGAATTGACACAACTGAAAAATGGCCGAGAACTGGGAGCACATGGAGTCCTTGAGATGCTTCGCTTTGGTCTGGGTCATTTGACCAGTGGAGAAGTCGAAAACTTCCTCTGATAAAATTTTCAGTATCACCATGTTATTCTGACACATACTCTCATTCGTTCGACTGGCTCCAACGATGTCAGGAATGAAAGATTCCCAATTCTTTGGCCATTCTCGCTTCAAAATTTGAACGAGAATAGTGTTCAGTTTACTGAGATACATCTTCTCCCTTTCCAATGTCTGCGGGTCGGACGACGTCTTGATGATCAGCGACACAATATACTTTTTAATCCCTACGGATGCGAGAAAATAATTCGCGTTGAAAATTTCTTTCCGACGATCTACAACTGGCATCACTGGGTCTAAGCTGAAAAACATATTTCTACATACCTTCGCACTGATTCCTAGGTAAAGCTTTCCATCGCGTTTTGATGACATTTTCTAAAATCTGCAGGGCGTAGTACTTCGTTTCTTGATTTTGCGAGAATTCAAGAATTGCATCGACCCTTGTCCACGCTTCTGGATGTTCTTTCAAGGAGTTGAGCACTTGCTGGGCGATTTTTTGCTACAGAAAACGAATGTAGATAGAAATCTGAATGTCACAACAAGAATGTGACCCTTCCCATACCTGATCTCCAGTTCCATTGTACATGCAACCGACAACGGTGTCTAGAAGACTTATGTCGAGCTTCTGGTTGAAATCCAGAAGCTTGGCCGCCTGCTCGGCCAAAGTGGCCATGCTCACTAACCCGGGAAGGGGGCTGATAGGAACGCTGGAAGTCGTCACTGGCATAAAAGCTACAATATTTATAGACCTGTAAAAAAAAATGTCGTCAGCAGAAGCTGAGAAAATTACTACCATCAACTTACCCAACACGGTACCGTCTCGACAAATCCGGTCAGCTCAAAAGAGTGGACAGAAATCAAAACGGTCACCCACAATGCATGTGATCGTTTTCGGCGACTTTGAACTCAGGGACGATGAAGCTACATAGATCAACGTCAATTAATCAGAGGGTACAACAAGCAAGAGCGAAATAAAAACCGACCTTCATGCTCGTCCGCAGCACGTTGGTATAAAATTTTTCTGTGACTCCAGTACCTGAGACAAAGCACAAAAGAGAATTGAATTCTATACGGCTGTAATTGAGAGAATACCTCGAATATACAGCACGACATGTCAGTAAGCTAACCAGCACATAAATGATTTGCTAGCGCCAACAACTCTCAAAGCATAAATTTTTCAGGTCGCTGTGACATGCACATTACACAAATTTCAAATAATCAAGATACCTCGTAAGAAAAGAAAACTCGCGGATCGCGAAAGTCACTGCGTTCTTGCAAAACGAATGCGTCGCAAATATGCGTTCGAAATACGTCGTTAACGTCTAATACGGGGCTTTCAACATTAATCTCACTCAAAACCACGCTGAGCATCCCGCAACTCGAAGTCAACACAATGAAAATCCGACGGGGTAATCCGTTCTCACAGAACCACATTTCACGTACGAATCAGTCACCGACACTTCAAAATTTTCGTTTGATTCCCGACGCGAAGAAATGTCCGTTTGCCATGGACTTTCCATCTCCACGAGATCCTAATGATCAGAGCCGGAATACACGATGGGTCGCTTGCCGGTGAAGTCTATAAATCCTGGTGGAACAGACCTCTTTATGTTTTCCTGGCATCTTGTAAAAACAGAAGTTTGCTTTTTATCATTGTGTAACTAAATACCATAACGAATCTTATGCATATGACCTGAATCAAGGGAAGACTGAAGATGTGGGAATATGTCTTTGAAAGCGAATGCTGCCGGCATCTAGTTTCATTTTTTTTAATTAAAATATTGTTTTCACAGGTCTTTTTAACAGGTGTCACAGGCTTTTACAAGAATTTCCGCTTCAGTACAGTACAGATTGTTATATTTTTCGCGTCCATGCCCATACAGTACTGCATTCGGATACATGTACAGGTGCATTGCAGTTGCTTAATAATAATTTGATATCATACCCCAAACCTTCCAATCATTCGACGTGTTAAGGCAACCATCCTGCTGAATAAGGTACTGTACAGTACAGTACTCGAGTACCTTAGGCCCCACGCTACAGCAAAAGTGCGGGTTATTTGCGGAAAAATCTCTGCTTCAGATCGACAGGAGATGAGCGAGGTGATCCGTATATTAAATACTGTAATTGCTGGAGAAGGGTTTTCTATGATTGTATACAACAGAACTATTATTATCGGAATTTAACTTAACAGACGCATATCAATTATATGACCATTTATTACGAAGGTGGCTTCGTGTATACATTTTTTTGAGACTGTCACGAAGCCATTTTGTGATGAGGAAATTTAGTTTTTCGAAGTTTGCAGACGACGCGAATACAGTACTGTATATAGGTACGCAACTCATGGGCTGCGTGAACGTACCTGGAATAAGCCTCTGCAATAAATCTGCACCCAACATGCAGATAGGCTGAATTACGCTCTTATATTATGCTGGTGCATGATTTCTTCGTGCTAAACAAGGCGCGTATATATCCTTCTTGAACATTTGATTTTCATCTGAATCTTTCCCTTTCCAATGCATAATATAACTTCGGACAAACGTCGGACTTTCACAGAAGAAGCTCGCTCATTTCAGCTCATGGCACTTGATGGAGTTTGAAGAGTCTCCATGTTTGAAAAGTTTCTCGGAATTAAGTCCTGCGGTCGGAGCCTGCTGGTGAATTCTTACCACAATATTATATATTCAAAAATCTTTCCCGATTCAATTTCTGTAGTTGAAGTTCAGACACAATCAGAAATGATTCGAAGGCTTTACTGTACAGTACTTATGTGGAACTTCTTGTGTATACAAAATATCATGCTTCAGTTTTCTTGTGAAGGATCGTCGGGTTCCTTGTCGCGACTGTGCCAAGACTATACTTCAACTGCTCCTGAAGCTCCGAGTTGCAATCAAAACATGTTCATTCAAATGTTCATATTTTCATACCCTTATTAAAAATTTTATTTAACTAATTTTTGCCAAAATTTTCTCAAGACCAAAGCAGCCGTTTTAAGATCCAACGGTTTCTTGATGATTATTGTATCTTGATATTTGGCGATGATCCACCTAAGAAATCATAGAAAATTTGAGAGCAAATTCCTTTCCTGCCGAAATGGCGAAATCCTCTCAGCGCACATGAAAGATCTGCAACTATGTGCTTGTTTCTTGTGTTCTTCTGGGATGGGACCTCATAAGCTAAAACTGAAAGCAATCATGTTTTACCTAATTGGATTGATGACACGTTCAAGGATTTCTGAGAAACCCCTCATTAAATCCCTGGCTTTTTATTTTATTTTTCCCTGGGGAGAAATTTGGACATGAACTCGCCGATCTTTACAAACCCGTGTGACCAATACCTGCTGTGATGATTGTGAATACGCACGCGTATTTGACATGAGAGCTATTTTGTCGACGTCAGTGTCACTTTGAAGTGAAGACACCGACAGCCGCGAAATTCGGTTGGGGAACAATGAATGTGACGCCACGTCAGCTGCTGTATGAACTGCTGGCCAGACCATTTGAACCATGAGGCGGAAGCGTCAGCAGTTGCCTCCCATTCATTCCCGGGGAATTACCCATCGCCAGTGGTGCGTCTTCCGGGGTAATGTTCTGAAGAGGGTTGAACGAGAAGTTATATTCCAGCGTTTCGTGGTCTCCGTTTTTTGTTGCTTCGTTTTCTTTATTTTCTTTAACTAGATCTTGTTTCCGGTTCAATCTAATGTCTTACAGGAATATACAAATTTTCTGAAATATTTGGGGCACTGAATATCAAAAACCTTTGTAATGAGTTGAAGGTCCGCAATTCTTGATGTTTTGCTCAAGCTGCGGAGAGCTCGTTGATCAACCTGCTTCATTTTTTTTTGCCATTTGGTTGTTGTTGAATGCATTGTATAACTGGATCGGGACGTGATCGTGCCTTTTATTTGCCACAACTGATGTTGAGTAATGGGCAATAAATGATCAATTTGAGGAACGTTTCTTGTTGAGTACAGTATGTTTAATGAAGGAGGGAACTATGCGAACCGACACTGGGTATATGTAGCATGCCTTTTCAAACCTGCTGTGTTAATTGGTGTGAATCGTGTGGTTAAATGAACTCCGATATTTCCTGGTTCAACATTTTCACCCGAAAAAACTTTCTTATACCCTCCTTGGAAAAACGCAAATTTGTGAATCAGAGTTGGAATGCACTTCTGGACGTTCTGGTTTTTGAAGATGGAAAGCATATTTTCAGTGAGCTGTAATGGCAGCATTTGCGACAAATCAAGCAATGGAAAGGCTTACGAAAAATTAAAATTTGGTCAAATGAGAGCCATTCTTGAATCTTGAGCAAGTTTACTATCGCGTCTCACAAGGTTTCATGGCTCATTTTTTATGAAGCGCTTGTAATCCTTGCCTTCGAGATGCCGTTCGGAAAGCATATGGCTGTGGCATAATGAGTGACAGGGTCTGATGTTTTTTGGAATAACTCAGTGTACAGTGCAGTATGTGCTCTTCTTCACGAAGTGAGTTGCATCTACGCACATTTACGTTCAACTATATGACGAAAGTCTGATGCGTAATCTTTTACTGCAGTGTTGTGCTTCGCGTCGCGAACGTTTCGCTCCAAAATCACCTGCGTTTCGAAATCAAAGTTTTGCAGATGTTCCTCCACGAAACCCGCACATAATAGAGCATTTTTTCGTCGTCCACCTCGAACGAAAAAACATGACCCCGGGAACTTGTTATCAGTAGATGCATGGATTACTGACCTAATTTTTGTAAGCGTACTTAGGTGGTAAACAAGAAAGAAAGTTTTGTTCATTAGCAGCCGTGCTTCTACTCGCTGTCCGCCATGTGGCCGCAGTTCACTAGGAAAAGCCGTCAGGGTCGTGCGCGAAAAAAAAGAATACCCTCATGTCCCTCACTTTCAAAAAAAAGGATAAATCCCGTTCCGGTTTTCCGCGGTTATCGGACCTGGACGGAAAAGCTGAGCATTTTTCCCTAAGATTAGTGCAGGGCTTTTTCAACCACATTTAGCATATGGATGACTGTGATGGATAACAAGAGTGTTTAATGCTGGAGCTCTTTGATTCCCCGCGGCACTTCACGAGCGATTTGCCCACGTCTGTCTGTGTATAGCTATTGTTTCACGGAGGGGAAACTTAGGAAATCCCTAAAATTTTCCCATGCTATAGACAAAATAAAAGAAAGTTTCCTGAAAAGAAAAAGTAACTGCATCCACTCCGTGGATTCTTGGCCACTCCAACGTTTCGCACCCAGAGTTCAGTCTTCATCCTCTCGCGCGGAAGTGTTATGATCGACGCGGAAGTCTCGCGGACATTTTTGATCCGTCAGTGTTCATTATAATGAAGTGGGAACTTTGTGCTTTATTTCCGCGTTAATTCTGCTGAGCCTGAACATATATATCGAGAATCTGCTGAAAAGGTGAGCATCTTCAGTTTTATTTTCCGAAGAACGTAGATTTGGGATCGTCCGATACCGTTGATGCGCCTGGAATCTCATGTTTATCATAGGATCTGGGCTTTGAATAAAGTATGATTTTAGATTGTACCCTTCACGAAAATAAATTCCGAAGTGAGTGAATAAATTATCATGCGATGTCTAACGCAAATTGTTTCTGAAACTCAAGTTTATTTATTTTTGTCAACGGGAAGATCTTGTAGCTGTTGATATACTGCACATCAGTACATCAACAGCAAATAGGTCTTGAAATAGAAAAATACATCACGCGGGATTTTACAAATCCCACATGATGTATTTTTTATATTTCAGCATGCATGATGTACGTTTGATTTTTAAAACGCCGAATAGCTCAGACGATGAGGTTAGTATAAATCGGTTCTAGAGCAACATTTTTTGAAAGACCTCACCTTTTCGTATTCAGACTTGAAAAAAATCGTTGTACACAAGATCGTTGAGTGAGTGAGTGTCCGTGATGCATGCATCCGAAATTCTGGTAAATAAACGAACCCCATATATACCTGCGTGCTTATACATTTGTCGAAAGGAACATTTTCTTCGTTTTATATCTTCTCGCTTAATCGTCGTCGATTATTTCTCGTTCTTGGTTTCTTGA